CGGCCTCCCAAAGCACTGTGATTACAGGCGTGAGCCACCGTGCCAGCAAAATAAAAAAATTTTTAAAAGGTCAGCGGGACTTAATTGTGAGACCTCTGTAAGCCATGGGCAGTGTTTGGATTTTTCACGTGTGTATGTAGTAAAAGGCACACGACATAAAATGTATCATCTTCACCATTTAAGTGCACAGTTTATTGATTTTAAATGCATTCACGTTATTGTGCAGCCACCACCACTACCCAGCTCCAGAACTGTTTTTTTTCTTTTTGGTTTTTCTTTCAATTTTCTTTTTCTTTTTCTTTTTCTTTATTTATTTAGATGGAGTATTGCTCTGTAGCCCAGGCTGGAGTGCGGTGGCGCAATCTCGGCTCACTGCCACCTCCGCCTCCCGGGTCCTTCTTCAAACAATTCTCCTATCTCAGCCTCCCAAGTAGCTGGGATTACAGGCACGAGCCACCATGCCCAGCTAATTTTTGTATTTTTTACTAGAGGTGGGGTTTCACCATGTGGGCCAGTCTGGTCTTGAACTCCTGACCTCATGATCCACCCACCTCAGCCTCCCAAAGTGCTGGGATTACCGGCATGAGCTATTTTTATTTATTTATTTATTTTCTTTCTTTCTTTCTTTCTTTTTATTTTATTTTTTTTTTTTGAGAAAGAGTCTTGCTCTGTTGACCAGGTTGGAGTGCAATGGCTCAATCTCAGCTCACCACAACCTCTGCCTCCCAGGTTCAAGCAATTCTCCTGTCTCAGCCTTCTGAGTAGCTGGGATTACAGGTGCCCACCACCACACCCGGCTAATTTTTCATATTTTTAGTAGGTATGGGGTTTCACCATGGTAGCCAGGATGGTCTGCTTCTCATAGTAGCTGCCATGTCAAGAATAGATTGAGGAGAGTGGTATAGAAAGCAGGAGAGCAGCAAACATGATGGCTGCAGTGACCATGGGGATGGAGAGAGAGAGAGCTGGCAGTACCTGCGGATCTGCTGATCGTAGAAGGGGAGAAGAGGGGGAATCGTTAGAGCAGCGGGAGGGATGCTGGCACCATGTACTGACATGAGGGAGGCTGGGGGCAGATTTGTGGGGGAAATCCAGAGCTCATTTTGGGCATATGTTGAATTTTCTGTTTTGTTTTGTTATATCGAACTGAGCACAGAAAGTCAACACCAGAACAAAAGTATGCCAAATTGCAGGGTTTATTGCCGGCAACCACGGAGGACTCATGTCTCTCCAACCTGTGGCCCCGTAAAAGAGGGTGACAAGACCTTTTATACCTGTAAAATCACCTTCCGGGCGGAGAGGAGGGTGAGGGGGTTCTGGACATTTCGAGGGCCAGGGTACTATTTGACATTCTGATTGTTGTTTAAGGGGTTCACAGATGCTGAGATTAACATTCATTTACACATCGTCTGGGTAGGGGTGGGATCTATAGATTTTTATTTACTGGGCACCAGGATGGAATTATCTGGGGGTGCTTCCTCTGGTAAACAAAGGCCAGCAATTCTGGCATTTACAGATAAGAGAAGGTATGCAGCTTTACCTCAATTTGCATCCTGTAAATGATCTAGCAATTTACAAAAGCCAAGGTTAGCAGTCATTGTGAGGAGAATGGAAACAGCTTTGTTCTTTATAAAATGGCATTGTACAGGTTCTAACTCTAGGCCAGCTATATCACAGTTCCATATCCAAGTGAAGATGGCGAGGTCAGGAAGGAAGCCACGGGAGCCATCTGCATGTAGTTGATATTTCAGATCATGGGACTGAGTGTGGTGTCTGTGTTGGGGTCCTGGGGTCCTGTGGACTTGAGTTGTGAGGAGTGAAGCTGGGTTGGGGTAGTGGGGTATTGAACTTAAGTTGGAAGGCTGTCACCGGTGGAGGGGACATGAGAGTGTGCTCACCGATGCAGCCATGCTCGGCTCTGGTGTCCTCAGTTTTGGGTCTGCCCAGTAGATCCTGGGGTGGGACAGATGGAGGACTGTCACAAGAGGCATTTCTGAGGAGAGTTGTCTCCCCAGAAGGGCTTGAGGCCAGAGACTGGGAGCCTCTCTGGCTGAGAATCCCTGGCTCTGGCTGCACCGGACTGGAAGGAAGGTGTATGGGAGAAAGGCTTTGTAGTGCTTGGGGCCCCCTGAGGTTCACAGCTCAGTGCTTCACTGTCTGTCACCACAAAACCCACTTCCTATGACGTTTTGTCCCTGGGTTATCTCCCCTACCGTGAACTTCCTGTGAGAAGAAGTGAGGGGGGACGGACTCTCGGGGGAAACAGCAGCTGCCCTGAGGAGCCTGGGCTGCCTCCCTCCTTCCTGTCAGGCCCAGCGCTGGGGCTGCAGGTGCCCTAGGAGTCTCAGAGGGCAGGACTCAGACCAGGCTCCTCCCTGCCCAGAACAGCATCTGGCACCTGGCAGCATATTGGCAGACATTTGCAGAGTGAGTGCTGGGCTGAGGCTGCCTCATGAGGCTAATTTTTATTCCTGAGGTTCTGGCCTCCAGAGATAAGAGGCCTCATTCCTGGCGTGAGATACAGCTCCCTCCTCGGATGATCCCCTGAAGAATCCATTCATAAGATCACCTTGTTGGGATCCCCTGTCTACCCAGTAGGATCAAAGAAGGAAACAGCTGGCCAGGCCCGGTGGCTCACGCCTGTAATCCCAGCACTTTGGGAGGCTGAGGTGGGTGGATCACCTGAGGTCAGGAGTTTGAGACCAGCCTGGCCAACATGTTGAAACCCCATCTCCACAAAAAATTAGCCAGGCATGGTGGCAGACACCTGTAATCCCAGCTACTCTGGAGGCTGAGGCAGGAGAATCGCTTGAACACAGAAGGCAGAGGTTACGGTGAGTCGAGATTGTGCCACTGCACTCCAGCCTGGGTGACAGAGTAAGACTCTGTCTCCAAAAAAAGAAAAAAAGATTAAATAAGGATGATTAAATGAGGAAGTCACCATGAAGACACCTGCCTCACCCACACGGGCGCACACTCCAGCTCAGTGCCGGGTTATTGTGTGCATGTGTGCATGCATTTGCGGGAGATCAATTGCATGCAACCCCTAAGCTGCTTGATTTCAGGACCTGCAGTTTGTAGAATGCTGCATTCAGGGAAAGGCCCAAGCTCTGGGCTGATCCCACAGTCCAAAAGGGAAAGGACACACTCACAACTGTCACATCTGTCCCCCACATCTGAAACCACAGGCAACATCATTCTGCAGAGAACAGAACCATGGCAGAGATAAACCAAGATGGCAGTTAGTAAAACATAGTACATTTTGGAATACGGTCTGTTTCGAGATGGACTGTTTCAGAATAGAGCTATTGTTGGTTTGTTTTTTGTTTTTTTGTTTTGAGGTGAGTCTCGCTTTGTCACTCAGGCTGGAGTGCAGTGGCATGATCTCAGCTCACCACAACCTCTGCCTCCCGGGTTCAAGCGATTCTCCTGCCTCAGCCTACCGAGTAGCTGGGATTACAGGCATGTGCCACCGCACCTGGCTAATTTTGTGTTTTTAGTGGAGATGGGTTTTTCCATGTTGGTCAGGCTGGTCTCAAACTACAGACCTCAGGTGATTTGCCCACCTCAGCCTCCCAAAGTGCTGGGATTACAGGCTTGAGCCACCACGCCCAGCCTGATATTTGTATTTTTAATAGAATCAGGGTCTCACCATGTTAGCCAGACTGATCTCAAATTCCTGGGCTCAAGTGATCTGCCTGCCTCAGCCTCCCAAAGTGCTGGGATTACAGGAGTGAGCCACTGCGCCCAGCCAGAATAGAGCTATTGTTAATGCTCTAAGGATTTCAGACTAAATTACAGGGCCATGAAGTAAATCCCTCTTTGAAAGGTGCTGGAGGTCTCAGTAGAGACATCTTCCCTTCAAAAAGCTTTCCCACTCCCCAAATCCAGGAGAGTTGGCCCTTGTGTGGGACCCCCAGCCCACCACGTCCTCTGTTGGATCACAGATCACCCACCCTGGAATTGCCCGTTTCCTGGTCAACCTTGCTTTTGGATGGCTTGTTCCTTAGAACAGATAAGCTGGCTGGGCTGGCCACTGTACCTGGCCCATGGTAGGCGCTGGGTGCAAGTGTTTTCTTAATGTAATTAAAAAGCTGCTGGGCATGTTTTCACCTTAAAGAAATCTGCAGAGGAAGTTACAGAGGGAATTAGAGTCAGACATCCTGCTGCTGATCCAGCAAGCAAGGAGTGAGTCACCGTTTGTGTTTGGTTACTGTGAAGCACCTGGGAGACAGGGAATCCTAGACACTGGAAAACAGTGCAATGGAGCTGCGGAATTGCAGCTGTGGAAGATGGTGGCTAGGGTGGAGAGACTGAGGGAGGCATCTGAGAGCCTTTGTCAGAAGTTTGTACTTGAGCCAGGTGCAGTGGCTCATGCCTGTAATCCTAGAACTTTGGGAGGCCAAGGCGGGTGAATCACTTGAGGCCAGGAGTTTAAGACCAGCCTGGCCAACATGGTGAAATGCCATCTCTACTAAAAATATAAAAGTTAGCCATGTGTGGCTGCGCATGCCTGTAATCCCAGCTAATCGGGAGGCTGAGGCAGGAGAATTGCTTGAGCCCAGAAGGTGGAGGTTGCAGTGAGCTGAGATCACGCCACTGCACTCTAGCCTGGGCAACAGAGCAAGATCCTGTCTCCAAAAAAAAGAAAAGAAAAAAAAAGTTTGTACTTGATGTGTGACCACAGAAACACAACTCTAAGGTGTGTCCCTGACATTAGAGAGGGTGCCCAGGTGCCCAGGCATGGGATCCAGCACTGCAGAGCCAGTGCTCTGGTGAGGCGGGTTCGACCACAGACCAGGCTCCTTTCTTCCCCTCCTCATCTTCCCTGTTCACTTCCTTCCCCAGCTCTGGCTTCTGTGGAATGGCTCAGTGCCGCAGGTGTGGGAGGGTTAAAATTCGGGCCTGCTGGAGGCCTGAGAGCCCCTGGGTTGGTGCCCACAGGGGATTGGGTATCCAACAAAGTGATGGACTGGCCACAATGATGCTGTCCCTTCCAGAGCACTTAAAGGAGAAGCTGGAGCAGTACGTGAAACAGCTGCAGGTGGTGAGGGTGGTGCGGCAGGAGGAGCGGAAGGGGCTGATCACTGCCCGGCTGCTGGGAGCCAGCATGGCACAGGCGGAGGTGCTCACGTTCCTGGATGCCCACTGTGAGTACCAGGGTGCCAGCCTGGGTGTAACCTGGAGGCTCCCTCCCTGCCAGAATGAGCTGGGGCCGCAGCAGGAGCAAAGGAGGCTTGGGACTCACTCCAGCTTCATCTACCCCTTTCTCACCCCAATCCCAAGGATGTTTCATCAAGAGGCACAAACAGCCCTAAAACAATTGGTGACCCCAAAATCACCGGAAGTGTACTCTGGGGCCCCAGACACTCATCCCTCCTTTGCCCTCCCCATCTGCACCTTGTTCTGAGCTCAGCCCCTTGGAGAGGCCTCCTGTTAGGACTGAGAACTGGCTTGTTTAGGGCTTTCTTATAGGGCCACATGGAGCCAGGAAGGCCTCCCTCTTGCCCAAAACCAAAACACTGCCCCACTGCTGTGGGGGGTGAAGTCTTTTCCCTAAGAGTGGTGATATATATCAGGGAAAGCTCTAGACTTGGAGTCAGAATTCTCGGTTTACATTCTGACCCTGCCACTAACAGCCTCAGTTTCCTCATTGGTAAAATAGGAATGAGGATACCAACCTTACCCAACAGAACTATTACTCTCAGCGCGAAATGAAGTAACATATGCAGAAGCTGGCTGAAAATCTCAAAGAGCTAGACAAAAAAAAAGAGATAATTATTCTACAACTGGGGCTGAAGCTTGACATGCAGATGCCCCTGGGAGAGGGAGCACTCTCTTCTGAAATCCACACATGAGCCAGGAGGGCTGATCCAATGGGCAGACTGGGACCCTGAAGATACCATCCAGGGCTTCCCTATGCTTTTGGGTCATCTGAGTGGACCACGCTACTCCTGGGACCTCCATTCTCCCTGCCAAAGCTGCCTCCGCCTTTGGTGGCAGCAGGGTGGTAGGAAGGTTTTAGGAAATCTGTGTGCTCCCTGCAGCTGTGAGGCTTGCTGTCCTTCTCTGCCTGTAACCCAGGAGTAGGTGGAAGGTCTCTTACCCTCCTAGGCGTTCCCCCCAGGCTGTGGATTGGGCTCAGCTGTAGGTAGGACGCTGACTGCTGCCTCCTGGTTGGGACCTGCAGGTGAGTGCTTCCACGGCTGGCTGGAGCCCCTCCTAGCTCGAATCGCTGAGGACAAGACGGTGGTGGTGAGCCCAGACATCGTCACCATCGATCTTAATACTTTCGAGTTCGCCAAGCCCATCCAGAGGGGCAGAGTCCATAGCCGAGGCAACTTTGACTGGAGCCTGACCTTTGGCTGGGAAACACTTCCTCCACATGAGAAGCAGAGGCGCAAGGATGAGACCTACCCCATCAAGTAAGGACCGCAGCCTGGTGAGCCCCCAGCCTGGCCCCAGTCCTACCCCATTCCAGGAACCTGTGCCATCTCATATCAACATTTGTTAGGTGCTCTATCAAGCACTTGACATACTGTATTTCATCCTCACTCCCTATGAAATAGGTAGAGTGATGAGCCTGGTTTACAGGTGAGAACTCTAAGGCTCATAGTGATAAACACTGACCTAAGATCATGCAGCTAGCGTCAGTGAGCAAGAACCCCCTTTCCGGCCTGTCTGGCCCTAACTGTGGCACTGCACGGCCTCACACCATGACAGTTTGCTCTTATTCACCACTTACTGTGTGCCAGGGACTGAACTGGGCTTTACATTCTTCATCTAGTTTATTCCTCCCTACACAGAAAAGGACATGGTCCGTGCTTGCAAATGGGGCAGGAGATGTGATGGAGGCCATAGTGGAACAGTCTCTGTAATAAGAGGGGGTAGTGTGTACCCCCAGGTCACTGTCTTTGTAAAGACTGAGAATATACTAAAAGAAAATAGAGTTAAAACCGCATCTCTACTAAATATAATAAAAATTAGCCAACCGTGTTGGCGGGCGCCTGTGATCCCAGCTACTCAGGAGGCTGAGGCAGGAGAATTGCTTGAACCTGGGAGGTGGAGGTTGCAGTAAGCTGAGATGGCACCATTGCACTCTAGACAAGAGCAAAACTCCATCTTAAAAAAAAAAGAAAGAAAGAAAATAGACACGTTTTCTGTAGTGTGAAGTTTGTAGCAGTTGCCCTGAACTTTGGTGAAGGGCCAGATGATAAATATTTTGGGCTTTGCCAGCCACATATTGTTTGCTGCATATTTTTCATTGTTTTATTTATTTTTTATTTTTTTACAAACATTAAAAAATATAAAAATAATTTTTGCCCCAGAGGCTTCTAAAAACAGGCAGGGAGGCCAGATTTTGCCCTCAGGCTCTGGTATGCCAGCCCTTGGGCTGTAGGGTAGACAGTTGGAAGTCAGCCCACTGTTTAATGCCCACTGGACTCACCTTCCCCTTTTACACCCACCCCGTCCTCCCCTCTCCATGCTGCCTGTTGATGTTATTGGAGACCATAAGTGTTAGGGTTTTTTGTTTTTGTTTTTTTTTTAGATGGAGTCTCACTTTGTCACCCAGACTGGAGTGCAATGGTGTGATCTCAGCTCACTCCAACCTCCACCTCCCAGTTTCAATCGATTCTCCTGTCTCAGCCTCCTGAGTAGCTGAGACTACAGGTGCACACCACCATGCCTGCCTAATTTTTGTATTTTTAGTAGAGACAGGGTTTTGCTATGTTGGCCAGGCTGGTCTTGAACTCCTGACCTCAGGTGATCCACTCACCTCGACCTCTCAAAGTGCTGGGATTACTGGTGTGAGCCACCATGCCCAGCCTGTAAGTTTATTAACAGTTGTCTCAGACAAACCAAGTTGAGGAGTGACTTTTAGCATAGCCTGTGGTTTGGGATTATTTGTGCCATTGTTATCCTAGACTGGCCAGGATGCTTAAGGGTCAACTGAATATACATCAGGGATGGAGGGAAGCAGAGGTTGGAGATACAATAGCCAGAGATAAGAGGGAAGGTTTGAAAGGTGGAAAGGATTAGTGCTTCTTCCTCTCCACGTGCCCAGAATCCTAAAAAATGCTGCCCATGCCAGACACAGTGGCCCACACCTGTAATCCCAGCTGGATGAGAGGCTGAGGTGGATTCGGTGGATTCCTTGAGCCCTGGGCAGCATAGCAAGACCCTCCCTCTTAAAAAAGAAAATGAAAAGAAAAAAAAAAACACCTGCTCAGAGTCCTAGTAGAAAGGAACTCAGATGAATGCCACAGGGAGAAATCCCCCGGATCCAGAACAGCTAGCTGCTCTGTCTCCATGAGGAGAGAAGGAAAGGAAAAGGCAAAAGAGAAAAAAGAAATTGGAACTTCCCACTGACCCCAGGCTTGTTTCATAGATGCCTTTTGTTTGCTGTGCACAGCAGCAGATCCCCACCCCCACCACCAAGCCAGTGACCAAGCACACAGTGGCACAGTCAGAGAGAGGGCACCTGGCCCCCACCCTCACTGACGTCACAGGCTTCCATGTCCAAGGCCCACACGACTGGAAGACAAAGCTGCAGTGTTTGAGGAATGAATCTGCTCTGTGACCCACATGTCCCAGTAGTGTGCATGGCTTGCCGAGGTTCTTCACGTATCGTCCTCCCAGGAGGACTGCTGACAGTCCCCTCCCAGCCTCCCATGTCAAGCCAACCAGAGCCTAAGAGGAGCAGCAGAGGACCCGGGGGACCCTCGGGGTAGGCCAGGACAGACAGGGTGTTTACTAGGGTTGCCTGTAGTTGTGAATTTACAGTGAAGCTTCCCATGCAGGGTTTGTCCTCACAGCTAATCCATCAGTGGCTTCTTGGTCTAGGAGACCCTCTCAAAGACAGGACTCAGGGCCTGTGGGGGAGGAAGCAGTTGGCTTCCAAGTGCTCCTCTGCAGTTCCAGCACTCCTGGAGCCTCTCAGGGTGCTATTTGGGCTGGTTTAGGACCGCTGGGAGAGGCCAGAACCAGTGACAGGAAGCCAGCCTGAGCACAAGGGTTCCCCAACTGCAATTCCTTCCAGAAAGTGGCCACAGGAGCCAACTTCAGGGAGACAAGAGCAACCACAGGGTAACACCAGGGTCAGGCTCCTGGGTAGTCACCTCAATGGATCAGCTGAATGAACAGTGATGGAGCCCCAGCTATGTGTAAGGCGCCTGGATAGGTTCTGGGGTTACAGACGTTTCCGTACCTTCCTGCATGGTTGTACCACATGAAGGCGCCCACTGAGGGCAGCAAAGCCCTAGCCATGCCAGCCTGGCCCAGACACAGACGCCAACAGCTGATGACTGTGCTCCTGGCCCTGTCTCCCCAGCCCCACCCCGACATTCCATCTCACTTATACTTACCTAAGGCTTAGCCCAGCCCCTCTTAGGAGCAACCTGGTATTGAAATTCTAGGAATTAGATGTTTTTGTCAATTTATCTTGAGTCCACACTTCCCTGCCTTTGTCTGAAAGCCAGAATCTTTTTATAATCTTCTAAATGTTCCCTATAGCCCAAATGGAGCTTGATCTCACCTGACTTCCCACCGTTGCCAGGAGCAACTGGCAACTTCTCCCCAAATCTAAAGTTTCTCATGCAGTATAAATCACCGTGGCTAGGCGCCTACTAAAGCTGTGGCTTTATAGTCCCTGAAGGGCCAGGACCCTGAAACAGAATGAAGTCAGCCCTGCTGATAATATTCATTCATTCATGGTTTGAATCCTGCCTATTTTCAAAAACAATTCCACACAGCTTCTGAAAGCTGAGTATCTCCTGGACTCCAGGCACTTTGCTGCCAAAAAGTAACTAATGGTACCTTTAACCTCGGCAACTAGACTGAGCTCTGGGGGAGTGGGGTCTTTCTCTATTCTGTGTGTCTACCATGTAGCACAGGACGCAGTGGCCAGGGTTTTGTGCATCCTTGGTTGAATGAATGAATGAATACCTTTTAGAAGATAATTACGTATTTCCTTGACCTGGTCCTAGAAGGGGAACAGGACACAGTAAAATCTAAATGATGAGTGAGTTAGTGGACGAGGGGCTGCACGTCCTGAGAAAGAGGAAAGGAGGAGGAGGTGTGTGAGGAGGGGATTCCACAAACAGCTTTCTCTACCAGGCGTGGCTCCTCCTCTCCCATAACACGCACACGCTTCTCCCTCTGTCTCTCCAGATCCCCGACGTTTGCTGGTGGCCTCTTCTCCATCTCCAAGTCCTACTTTGAGCACATCGGTACCTATGATAATCAGATGGAGATCTGGGGAGGGGAGAACGTGGAAATGTCCTTCCGGGTGAGAGTGAAGAGGGCTTCGGGGGAAACCACAACATCCCAGGGGACAGCTTGAGAAGCGTCTCTCAGGCAGCGGTGGCATCAGGGATATCCCATCTGGCAGCGGTGGCATCAGGGATATCCCATCTGGAACTGAACTGGAAAGGGTGGCTACTTCCCGACGTGGCCGTACCTCTTTTCTGCTCCCCTCCCTGTCCATGATAGTGGGGCTTGGGCAATCAGCTTGGACAGCTCAAAACAAATTACTGGGCACAACTTCTCAGAGGGAAGGAATAATAGGGGTAATGAGGACTGGACATCTGGGGACTAGGGACTCTTACACAATATCTGAGGGGAAAGGGTTAGGGTGAAGATAGAAACAGGTCTGTATGTTCACAACTAGGGCAAGAAAAAAAGAAACTTACCAGTAACCAGTCATCATCCTTTTTCTGGAAAAATCAGGCTCCCTTTCCCAGTTCAAAGGACACATGCCCTGGTAACCTTTGAAGTTTCTCTACCTATGCTCAACAAGCCCTTCATAATGGTCAGAGAAGATGGTGGCCCCAACTCTGGTGGACCCCAGAACTCTGAGATATTACAGGAATTATGCAAATCAGGATTAGGTCAGGAAGAAAGGATTGCCTCTCCATGAAACCTACGCAAATCCCCATACTGTGGAAAAGTAATTAGTAAGCAGATGAGCTCATTTATGAAGTCACCTCTCACAGTCCCCGATGCATATTAAGCACATAATTGATGCCTGCTGTTACTAAAATGATGATATATTTCTGTTGCTAACAACATACCTTCCCGTCTCCCCAAGAGAAGAAATCAGTGGGAAGGATGTCTTCAGCTAGCCCACCAGCATAGAGAGGGGTCACCTGCCAGTCACCCCAACTCCCAGTAGCCCAATCCTAGGGTCCTCAGTGAGCCTGTGACCTCCGTTCACTCTGCTAGGCAGCCAGTGTGCTAAGGGCCCAGGTGGCCACCACTGGCCATCTAGCAGCCAACTATCCTTGCTATTAACACGCTGATGCTCTGGTTTGAGAGAGCTTGAGTTTCCAGTAACACTTGAGTAGGCTGATAAACTCATACTTCCAGGTCAAAAAGCCAAGTGATCAGAGCTCAGAGTAGGTATACAGGCATAGGTAACAAAAATTAACCAGCAGGCTTTTCCCTAAAGTGGGCTCTGATAAACATAGGACCCAGCAGTCTCCCTTTGCTTAAGTCAGAGTGAACATAGGACCCAGCAGTCTCCCTTTGCTTAAGTCAGAGTGAATCATCAGAATGCCTGGGATTGTGTAGTCATAGCCTAGGAAGAAGCCTGGTCAGTGTCCTTTTTTCCAGGGAGAGAGAGCAAGTCCTTGGACCTGGGGTCCAGTGTCCAGGAAATAGAATCAAGCTGCTTGGAGGGAGACTGTCCCACCCAGCCCGCTGAAGGCCTCATCCTGTCTCCTTTCATCAGGTGTGGCAGTGTGGGGGCCAGCTGGAGATCATCCCCTGCTCTGTCGTAGGCCATGTGTTCCGGACCAAGAGCCCCCACACCTTCCCCAAGGGCACCAATGTCATTGCTCGAAATCAAGTGCGCCTGGCGGAGGTCTGGATGGACAGCTTCAAGAAGATTTTCTATAGGAGAAATCTGCAGGCAGCAAAGATGGCCCAAGAGGTGAGAGGAAATGGTTCTTAGACAGGTTTAAATGACCTCTCTGAGGTTATCTCAGAGGTTTGGGGTCATTAGGCCCAAACCCTGTTCATGGGTCTAATGGCTGGAGCCCACCCCATCGTCACCATCTGGCACTTCCCTTCATCCTCAGGGCCCCATGAGCTAAAGCCCAGGAGAAGGCCACGGGGCACAAAGATTTCAAAAGCTAGAGAATGTTGTCCCTACATATAGAGTCTCTTCATCCTTTAGGGGAAGGGAGGGAAAGACATTTGAGGGAGTTGTTCCTCTTACAGGAGGAATGGCTCTGAGAGCTTGGGCCCTGAGGAATGGGACATAATTGTCTGCACAGTCACAGGAGATGGACTGATAAGCAGGGGACCCCAAAGCTAAGGTGGGGGGTTGGGGTTGGATGTGAGGCTGGGCCAGTAGCTTCTACAGGTCCCGAGGGGGAATGAGCATGAGAGACAGTAGCCCCAGGTGCTCCATGCTGTCTGTGCTACTTCAGCCCAGAAAGGAAAATCAAAGACTGGTGGAACTGGCCGGGCGTGGTGACTTGCGCCTGTAATTCCAGCACTTTGGGAGGCAAAGACGGGTGGATCACCTGGGGTCAGGAGTGTGAGATCAGCCTGACCAACATGGTGAAACTCCGTCTCTACTAAAAATGCAAAAATTAGCCAAGTGTGGTGGCGGGTGCCTGTAATCCCAGCTACTAGGGAGGCTGAGGCAGGAGAATTGCTTGAACCCAGGAGGGGAAGGTTGCAGTGAGCCGAGATCACACCACTGCACTCCAGTCTGGGTGATAAGGTGAGACTCTGTCTCAAAAAAAAAAATAAAGACTAGTGGAACTGATCCTTAGGGGGCTGGCTTGGTTGACAGAAATCCTTCGGTGACATTTCGGAACGACTGCAGCTGAGGGAACAACTGCACTGTCACAACTTTTCCTGGTACCTGCACAATGTCTACCCAGAGATGTTTGTTCCTGACCTGACGCCCACCTTCTATGGTGCTGTAAGTCCTGAGAACCACCCTGTCTGCCCATCACCATAGCACCCCTCAGAGAAGTTCACGACCACTGACCCCATGAACGGATGACAAACAAGAATTGACTTTTACCCTGCACCCTCCTTTATCCAGGAGGAGGACTGAGAGGCCATGTTGGGGCTTCTAGAGATAGCAAAAAACCTTATAAAGGGGGAAACCACCCACAAGCAGTAGTCCTGAAACATTAGCATGTGTTAGAATCACCAGGGAGGCGCGGTAAAACCCTAGGGCCCATCCCCAGAGTTCCTGATTCAGAAGGGCTTGGGGGAGATCTGAAAACCTGCATTTCTCACAAGTCTCCAGGTGAGGCTGCTGGTCCAGGGCCCACACTCTGAGAACCACTGCTTATAAGGAAACTCCCACATGCTGAGGGCTTCTTTCAGGAACCTGGCATCCTGGGAGATTCCCCGCTTGCCCCACAGAGGTGTCCAGTCCTGCCCATTCCAGCCTCTGGCTCTGCAGCTCACTTTTCTGTTAGCTCCAGGCATGTGGATTAATGCAGAGGAGAAAAATGACAGAGGGGAAATCCAGCCATGCAAATTTGTTACAGTTGACTGGAATTTGTTCCAGTAGGGCCCCATACCACACATGAGGAAACCCCTGACTGTGCCATCCTGCTTCCCCTCTCTTCTCACCCTTCTGCAGATCAAGAACCTCGGCACCAACCAATGCCTAGATGTGGGTGAGAACAACCGTGGGGGGAAGCCCCTTATCATGTACTCCTGCCACGGCCTTGGTGGCAACCAGGTATGCAGCCCACCCATCTCTAGAGCATCTCCTTTCCTCACCGGCTCCCTTTCTCTACCCTAAAGAGTCCTTTCCTGAGGACTTACGGGAAAGAGATACCATCCCAGGAAGCTTCCAGTCAGAGGAGAAGGCATAACACACACAAGGTCTGAAGATGGGATGTCCAGAGAGAATGAGGCATCAGTGCTGGGTGTGAGAAGGGGATGGGAGGGAGGGTTGCTCATTAGAGGAGGCTTGCTGGAGGAGGCCAGCTGCTGGGGTACATTTAGGGGTGAGGATCGAAAATGTTCGAGCACATCCCATTACCTATGCTCAACTTCTATCTTCAATGCATCCTCTGCCCAGAAGCTACCACTCTGATCCTACCACATCACAGCGCCCCCAAAACAACCACCTAGTAGTGACATCTCAGTTACCTGGCACCCTGGAAACTTACCCCATGCCCCAGCACTTCCCTGAGGCATAACTAGCAACCTCCTCATCCCCTACCCCTCAGTCTACTCTGAATGCCAGCACCTAGTAAGTGAGAGGCACTGAAAACAGCCAGAGTGGGGAAAGGAGTGGTGTGGGATGCTGAACAAGCCCACTGGCATATGCAAGTGAAGACAGTCATTCTAGAGCAGTTTCCTATACCACTGACCTGCAAGATGATTTCTGGTGGCGCGTTGGAGAACATTTTTAATTTTAATAGTAATTTCATAGCAAAAATAGAACAAGCATATCACATGATTTCACAGATGTTACTTAAAATGAGTCTAAGTTAAATTTAATTTTAATCTAATTTAAAGGAAATGTGATCAGGCACAGTGGCTCACACTTGTAATCCCAGCACTTTGGGAGGTTGAGGAGGGTGGATCACTTGAGCCTAGGAATTTGAGACCTGCCTGGGCAACACAAGACACTCCATCTCTATAAAAAAAAATTTTTTTAGATTAGCTGGATGTGGTGCCACACGCCTGCAGTCTCAGCTACTCAGGAAGCTGATGTGGGAGGATCGCTTGAACAAAGGAATTCGAGGTTGCACTAGCCTAAGCGACAGAGCAAGACCCTGTCTCAAAAAAAAAAAGAAAGAAAGAAAATATATTGGTCAGGTGCAGTGGCTCACACTTGTAATCCCAGCACTTTGGGAGGCCAAGGTGGGAAGATAACTTGAGTGCAGGAGTTTGAGACCAGCCTGGGCAACATAGCAAGACCCCATCTCATGAAAAAGAAATATATATATACATAATATATAATATAATATAAATAATATGTATATATATGTATATATATTAGCTATTCCAGTATAACCGTGATATGGTAACAATCCTGAAGGCAGCACATAAATGAGTCAAGTCTTGGCATGGCCTCACGTTCACTCTCCTCCCCAGGAGACCACGAATGGTTGACAGCTCAGGGCAGGTGGCTTTGCAAGGTTGGGGCCAAACTCTCCATTTGCTTCTCTTGTCTTGACTTCCAGTACTTTGAGTACACGACTCAGAGGGACCTTCGTCACAACATCGCAAAGCAGCTGTGTCTACATGCCAGCAACGGTGCTCTGGGCCTGAGGAACTGTCACTTCACTGGCAAGAATAGCCAGGTCCCCAAGGACGAGGAATGGGAATTGACCCAGGTGAGTCGGTGTCCATAAAGCTCCGAATCAAGAACTTCAGGCTGGGCATGGTGGGTCATGCGTATAATCCCAGCACTTTGGGAGGCCGAGGCAGGCGGATCACGAGGTCAGGAGTTTGAGACCAGCCTGGCCAACACGGTGAAATCCTGTCTCTGCTAATAATACAAAAATCAGCTGGGCATGGGGTTGTGCACCTGTAGTCCCAGCTACTCGGGAGGCTGAGGCAGGAGAATTGCCTGAACCTGGGAGGTGGAGGTTGCAGTGAGCCAGTCCCGCCACTGCACTCCAGCTTGGGTGACAGCAAAACGGGGGTTAAAAAAAAAAAAGAGCTGGGCGCTGTGGCTCAAGCCTGTAATTCCAGCACTTTGGGAGGCCGAGGCAGGTGGATCACAAGGTCAAGAGATCGAGACCATCCTGGTCAAAATGGTGAAACCCCGTCTCTATTAAAGATACAAAAAATGAGCTGGGCATGGTGGTGCGTGCCTGTAATCCCAGCTACTCAGGAGGCTGAGGCAGGAGAATTGCCTGAACCCAGGAGGCGGAGGTTGCGGTGAGCCGAGATTGCGCCATTGCATTCCAGCCTGAGTAACAAGAGCTAAACTCCGTCTCAAAAAAAAAAAAAAAAAAGAAAGAAAGACAAAAAGAACTTGAGGCCATATTGGCCCCTCTGTATTTTCTTCATTTTCTTCCTGAGACGCCATGGGGTAGAGTAGAGCAGTGTATAAGGTAGGTGAGTGTGGGCATGGCCACAGGCAGGGTTCTTGGGGCTTAAAGGGTATTTGGTGATGACTGATGTAAAGATGGGGTCAGAGATAATGGTTCGTGGCTAGCTCTGCCATGGCTCAAGCATTTTTAGGCTGAACCCAATTAGATGAAGGTGAAGAGTCATTCATGGTTCCTGTTTGTCCTCTGTGTCCCGGACTCAAAGCTAGGCACTCATACCTGGGTCTGGTTGATCTTTCAGAGGCTCTTTCCAAGCAGGAAGTGTCCCGGTTTCTGCAGATGAGCTGGAGCCAGAGGAAGCCTATCATGTCTGTGACTGGGCTAAGACCCATTGCTAATAAATGGCAGGCCTGGGATTCAGCCCCAGATGGATCTGACTTGAAAGCATGGGCTCTTTCTATTACATCACACTGCTTCGGGATATGCCATGCAATTGCCACCATGTTGAGCTCAACCCTAGTGAGCCTCCCTACTCCACCCCAGTTTAGGAAAGAGGAACTTGGCTGGGCGAGGTGGCTCACACCTGTAATCCCAGCACTTTGGGAGGCCAAGGTGGGTGAATCACAAGGTCAAGAGATCAAGACCATCCTGGCCAACAGGGTGAAACCCCGTCTCTACTAAAAATACAAATATTAGCTGGGCATGGTGGCATGCACCTGTAATCCCAGCTACTTGGGAGGCTGAAGCAGGAGAATCACTTGAACCCGGGAGGTGGGGTTTGCAGTGAGCCAAGAGCACCACTGCACACCAGCCTGGTGACAGAGCGAGACTCCGTCTCAAAAAAAAAAAAGGAAAGAGAACCCTAACCTTGAGGCTGCAGGGAATGGAGCAGTCTAAACATAATCCAAGGCAGAACACTGGAGGTGGAGCAGTAGCCCTGGGTCTTTGAGCCTGGCCATCTGTCAGGGGAGAGGCCCTGAAAGCATTTTTTTCTCAGCCCACGGTCTTGTCTTTCACCATTTCCTCCACTGAGGCTGAAGCTGGGGATGGGGATTTGGCACCAGACAGAGGTGGGAATTCAGGAATGCATCTCATGAGATGTCAAGAAATAGGGAAGTGTCCTCTTTTTGCTTTGTGGGGTTCCCTTGGCCTTTCATCAATTGTACCCCCTTGCATTGTCCCCGCTAGCATTGTTAGAGTCTGTGGCCCAGATTGACCCTTTGCTCTGTCATCTTTTAGGATCAGCTCATCAGGAACTCAGGATCTGGTACCTGCCTGACATTCCAGGACAAAAAGCCAGTCATGGCCCCCTGCAATCCCAGGGACCCCCATCAGTTGTGGCTCTTTGTCTAGGACCCAGATCATCCCCAGAGAGAGCCCCCACAAGCCCCTCAGGAAACAGGATTGCTGATGTCTGGGAACCTGATCACCAGCTTCTCTGGAGGCCTTAAAGATGGACTTCTAAGCCCACTGGGTGGCGAGGCAGGACTTTCCTACTCCTTGCAACAACACTGGGCCCATTTTCTTTCCTTCACACCGACAGAAGAGACCATTAGGACATAAATAAACCCTATTTAGCCAAGGGTTTTCCTTCTGTCCTAGAAACAGAGGCTTCCAAAGCAGGGAAGGCAACTGGAGGAGGGTCCAGGGCAGCAATGCTAAGCTCAAGAAACGTACTTCAGGCTGGGCACAGTGGCTCACGCTGGAAATCCTAGCACTTTGTGAAGACAAGGTGGGAGAATGGCTTGAGCCCAGGAGTTCAAGACCAGCTTGAGCAACAGAGTGAGGACCCCATCGCTACCCACCCCCCAAAAAAATAGCTGGGCATAGTGGCTTATGCCTGTAGTCCCTGCTACTCAGGAGGCTGAGGTGGGAGGATTGCTTGAACCCGGGAGGTTGAAGCTGCAGTGAGCCTTGATCATGTCACTGCACTCTAGCCTGGGCAACAGGTGAGACTCTGCCTCAAAAAAAAAAAAAAAAAAAAAAGGAAAGGAAAAGTACTTCTACAGCCATGTCCCAATTCCTTGATCATCCAAAGTACCTGCAGAGTCCAGTGAAGTGGAATATTCTGGCCGGGCATGGTGGCTCATACCTGTAATCCCAGTTCTTTGGGAGGCCAAAGAACTAGGTGGGCGGATCACCTGAGGTCAGGAGTTTGAGACCAGCCTGGACTACATGGTGAAGCTCTGTGTCTACTAAAAATACAAAAAGTAGCTGGGTGTGGTGGCAGGTGCCTGTAATCCCAGCTACTTGGGAGGCTGAGGCAGAAGAATTGCTTGAACTCAGGAGGCAGAGGTTGCAGTGAGCCAAGACCACGCCATTGCACTCCAGTCTGGGCAACAAGAGCAAAACTCCATCTCAGAAAAAAAAGTATATTCTAACACACGGATTAGAAGTGTAAGTAAGCCTCCCTTGCTAATATTACCTGAAGCTTATAGAACCGTTTACAGATAGCTCTCTGACAGGTGTCCTTTATCTTACTTTATCTGTACAATAATCTGAGAAAGACAGGACAGAAACCAGTGTGCCCATTTTATAGATAAGAAAACTGAAACACAGAGGATAAAGGGGTTTGTCTGTAGTCTCAGAGCTAGCAGATGGCTGGAGCCAAGACAGGCTCGCTCTTCAGTGCTGAGCCAGGGCTGCTTCCACTGTACCACAAGAACACTAGACCACTTGCCACCAGCCTTTTCGTTCCCTCTTTCTGCATTCTGATTATTTCTAACTGGGTGGCCTCCATAGAGCCTAGAAAAACAGAGCCAGGGCCAGGCACAGTGGCTCACACCTGTAATCCCAGCACTTTGGGAGGCGGAGGCAGGCAGATGAACTGAGGTTGGGAGTTCAAGACCAGCCTGGCCAACATGGGTGAAACCCCATCTCTACTAGAAATACAAAAATTAGCCAGGTGTGATGGCGCATGCCTGTAATCCCAGCTACTCGGGAGGCTGAGGCAAAAGAATTGCTTGAACCCAAGAGGTGGAGGTTGCAGTGAGCCAAAATAGTGCCGCTGCACTCCAGCCTGGGCAACAAGAGTGAAACCCTGTCTCCAAAAAAAAAAAAAAAAAAAAAGAAAAACAGAGCCAGGTAGCCATTGTGGAGAGAGCACACTTAGGACTCCTGGGATGTTAGTGTTAAAAGAAAGCGAAAGCTCCTGGAGCCGGTGATTCTCAAGTTTATCCCAGATCCCTTTTTTCCAAAGCCCTATGAAAAGGTAGATAAAAAGCAAAGTAGTGTGAGTGAAATTGGAAGAGGGACAGGCAATGCCTCCCACCCCTAAGTTCTAAAGGTCTGGAAGCACAACGTGAAAATTCTGCTAGCCCAACGCTATCATTTTCATTTTCTGATACTGAGTCCTGTTAAGTGAATCTGTCCAAGGTCACCCAGCAAGGTGTCAGCAGCCCCGAGGGTAAGGACTCGGATAAGGCTCAGGAGGGTCTTGGAAAGCCTGAGGCAGCAGGAAGAGTGTGCAGAGTTCAGCGTGCCTGGAAGGCTGATCCACTGCTGGGCCCACGTGAAGCCCCGATGGGGAGCAGACCCCACTGCATATGGCTCTGTTGCTGCAAGAAGAGTCCATCTGCGCTGAGGATGAAAATTCCATCCGGGAAGGCTTCTTTTGACTTTCAATAGCAGGCTGTCACCACATGAGGGTGCTATGGGACCACAGCTGCCTCTTGTTCCCACACAACTCAATCCTGCAGGAACCCTCCAGGTCCTTGAAAGCCTTCTGGACCCTATACAGGAGACATTCTGGGGTAGGCCATCCAAAAGGAAAGCAGAGTGACCAGGGTACGACCTGAAGTAGGGAAGGGGAAAAGTTCCCGGAGAGAGAAAAGAATTAGACGAGCGGTCTCCAAGGAAATAAAGGTTTTCTGGCATTGCTAAAGGAAACTGGTGTTGTGTTCCTCTTGCCTGCGTTGTCCCTTAACTGAATCAGTTGATTTGGGCTATGAAGAACCACACACATCTGAAAAGTTCGTTTACAGCACTGTCTCGTGTCCCCAAACCCATTCTCTGGCCCTAAATCTAGCCTGTGTATTGTGTCAAGCATGTGGAAACGTGAGACATGATTGAGGCACGAGACTAGGTCCTCTCCCCGTGGAACTCACATGCTAAACGTAGGAAAATCACGGCAAGCCTAGAGATGCTCCAAGAGGTGCTGGATGCGTTAGAAGGAGCAATTCCTTCCACGGAGGGAAGCAGGTAAGGCCTCATAAAGACGGCCTGTTTGACCTAAGACCGCGGAGGATGAGTCTTCTGATGGGAAGGGCTCAATAAGCAGAGATGTCACACAGGCAGCAGCCCAGCAGGAGCAAAGCCACAGAGGACATGTAGCCACAGTGGGTCTGAGTGAGGGAGCAATGGGTGCGGAAGCTGGAAGATCAGGGATACATCATGAATTTCAGGAGCCCTAGGCACTTTGGCCTTCCCAGCTCTTGATCCATTAGAAAAAAATTAATTTTGGGTTGGGTGTGATGGCTCATGCCTGTAATCCCAGCACTTTGGGAGGTAGGCAGATCATGAGGTCAGGAGTTTGAGACCAGCCTGGCCAACATGGTGAAACCCTGTCTCTACTAAAAATACAAAAATTAGCTGGGCATGGTGATGGACACCTGTAGTCCCAGCTACTCGGGAGGCTGAGGCCGGAGAATCGCTTGAACCCGGGAGGCGGAGGTTGCAGTGAGCTGAGATTGCGCCATTGCACTCCAGCCTGGGCAACAGGGCAAGACTCAGTCTCAAAAAAAGAAAATAATTAATTTTATAACTATGTTGGTATAAAGATGAATGTAATCCAGGCTGATTATATTTACTTTATATCTTCTGGTTTTAAAATAAGCTAAGACATTTCTGTGGGCCCTGGGCACTGCAGCTACTATGCCTTCTGGGTAACTCAGCCCCGTGGAAGAGTTGGTTGGGGCCCAATTGAGAAAGGCTTTGGTAGGTCTGTAACCCACAGGGAGTCATGGACCTGAACCCCAGCCTTATTCTTGGTTGCATTAAATATCCAGCATGGATCCCAGTATCCCTCATATTGTCTGTGGTATCACCCAACAGCTCCCCAGCCCAATCATATGATGTAGCCCAACCAAGGTGCCCAGCTGTGCCAAGAAGATTCCACCTACCCCCAAATAGCATAGCACTTCCCAGGTGCAGTCAGCCAGGAGTTACTCCCAGGGAGTGGGAGTTGCAGCAGGAGGGAGACACAGGCTGTGCCTAGAGAGTAGGTCTGGGACTAGGGAAGGGTGGTGGGAGAGAAGAGGGAGAGGGCACTGATGGGAGTGGCGGGAAGGCTCAAGAAACTAGCTTCGACCGGGAACCAGTGGCTCATCCCTGTAATCCCAGCACTTTGAGAGGCCAAGGCAGGCAGATCACTTGAGGTCAGGAGTTTGAGACCAGCCTGGCCAACATGGCGAAACCCAGTCTCTACTAAAAATAAAAAATTAGCCAGGAATGGTGGTAGGCGCCTGTAATCCCAGATACTGGGGAAGGTGAGGCACAAGAATCATTTGAGCCTGGAAGGCAGAGGTTGCAGTGAGCCGAGATTGTGTTCCAGCCTGGGCAACAGAGCCAGAGCAAGACTCTGTCTCAAAAAACAAACAAGAAACTAGCTTTGTGGCCTTCCCCTTAGTCGAACCTAGCCTGGCCCTAACAATACCTGTATTCTTCCTTACCACCCCCCTCCCCCCCGGCCCGACCACTCTCAGCTGACCTAAGGCCCCTACCTCTTGAAACCCTGCAGCCATCCCTGTGCTGCTATCTCCTGGTTCCAGGAGCGTCTCACACTAGGATTAAAGGGCTGGGCCCTCTGGGGATCTGTTTCCGACGGGAAGAGTATTGGGGCCATTGCCAAAAATAGCTGGATGTCCCAGAATTTATTCTTACTTTTTATTACAAAAGTAATACTGTGCCAGCCTGGCCAACATGTCAAAACCCCATCTCTACTAAAAATACAAAAATTAGCTGGGTGTGGTGGCACGTGCCTGTAATCCCAGCTACTCAGGAGGCTGAGGCAGGAGAATCGCTTGAACCCAGGAGGCGGATGTTGCAGTGAGTCCAGATCATGCCACTGCACTCCTGCCTGGGTGACACAGTAAGACTCCATTTTTTTTTTAAAAGTAATGCTGTGGAAAAAAGTCAAATGATATAGAAAAGGCGGAGGCTTCAGTGAGCTGAGATGATGCCACTGCATTCCAGCATAGACAACAGAATGAGACCCTGTCTCAAAAAAAAAAAGGAAAAAACAAATTTAAGGCATTGTCTATGCCTAACCCTAAGACTACGAATTTTTTATTTTTTTAGATGGAGTCTTGCTCTGTTGCCCAGGCTGGAGTGCAGTGGCACTATCTGGGCTCACTGCAACCTCCACCTCCTGGGTTCAAGCGATTCTCCTGCCTCAGCCTCCCAAGTAGCTGAGTCTACAGGCTCGCACCACCATGCCTGGCTAATTTTTGTATTTTTAGTAGAAATGGGGTCTTGCCCTGTTGGTCAGGCTGGTCTGAACTCCTGACCTCAGGTGATCCACCCACCTCTGCCTCCCAAAGTGCTGGGATTACAGGCGTGAGCCACCGCACCCAGCCCTAAGAGTAAGAATTTAAAAAGTCTGACTAGATGGGAGATTAGGCCCCAGTTATGAGGCTCTTAACTTCAGTCCTAGAGTTTGGTTTTAAGCAAATACACATTGGGCTTCTCTGGGCTAGGCCAAGGGTACAGAAGTGGATGTGAAATTGGCCCTGCTGGGTTTTTTTTTGGTTTGTTTTTGTTTTTGTTTTGCCCAGGCTGTAGTGCAATGGTTCGATCTCAGCTTACCGCAACCTCCTGTTCCCAGGGTCTAGTGATTCTCCTGCCTTAGCTCCCAAGTAGCTGGGATTACAGGCATGAACCACTGCTCCTGGCAGCCCTGCTGTTAAAGGTTCACCACTTTGGAGTATGTGATGTCAAGAGGTAAACTTCAGGAAGCCCTCAAGCCTCCTCTTGGACTCCTCATCCTGGGGCTAGAGGCCAGAGGACGCAGGGAAGTGGGAGGAGAATGACAGAAGAGGCCTTGGGCTCCCTGGCGCAGCTCAGCCTTCTTCCCTGAGGTCCACTTTGTGCCAGAATGCTGGAGGGTGGGCTGGAGAACAAACCCTTCAGGTTATCTGAGCATCAAAGTGCAACTCCCCTGAACAGCTCAAGACCCTGAAAAGTGACTGTGCAGATTGCTTGAAACAGCCTTTTCCAGGCTTCTCCCGCCCATGTAGCCATGAAGCTTGGATTTGGGACGGTTTAGGCAACAAAGCCCTGGGTGAGCAGGTGATTGTCCTGCTTCTGTCTAGGTTCCCGGCTTCTCCCTGCCTAATTGCAAACCCCGTGCTTTGCTACCATCACAGCTGCACCCACAATCCTCTGCTCTGGAGCCTGCAGTGATTCTGATCACTTTGTGGCCAACCCAAGGGTCCTCTGCCCACCTCAAGGCACACTGAGACTCCTTTCTCTTTCCTCTACGGGCTACGAGGGACAAAGCCTTCATCTCTTTCAGGAATCTCGGCTCCTCCCCTCCTGCTCCCTCTGCCCTCCACCCTCCATCTACCCTCATAGCCCTCAGTGTTCAAATCCCGAGGACCCCTCCTCTACCCTGCCCCACATTCTCCTCTGGGAGCCCCTTCTTGGCTCTCCATCAAGAGGGCCCACACCTGTTTCTCAGTACTTTCCTCCCCCAGATTCTCTCCACCGCATCTGCTTGGCTTTTGTGTCTGCATTTACACCTATATCTGCATGCTGGGGCATGTGCCTTCTCCCTCTTTGGGCAGAGAGAGTTGGTATGTCTTCCTTGCCCTTGCTAACCACTCCCCCCTCCTCCACCATCTCCCTGGCCTCCAGCTGCTAGTGCACAGGGCAAGTCTCTGCATTTACGGAGCCACTGAGGACAATGAGGCAGTGATGGATGATGAGGGGTGCCCCCTTAGAGAAAAACCAGCTCTGGTTCTCCATCTTATTTCTGAAAAAGAGTTTGTTGGATGCTTTTCAATTAAAAGCAGATGATTAATTCAGCTCTGGCCTTGTTCTGTCTTTGAACAATGGATAAATTCGTTTATGAAAAGAAATATTTTCATTTGTATTTCCATGTCACCTGTGACTTTCCCTGCCTTCCACCCTCAGCCCTGCCAGTTGGCAAGAAGAAGGTCGGCAAAGCTGCTGATAAGAGGAGTATAAAGAGGGCTTTAGTCCGTGCAAGAGGCCAGTGGGCTACTCCATTGGCAACATGCTGCACTTCCTGGTGTTCGAAACCCTGGTCCTTTACCGTAAGTGGATCATGTGGCCTGAGGTCTACAGGTAGGGGGACTTGGGCAGGAGGGTCAGCAAGACTTTCCTAAGCCCAGGCCAGCACCCTAATCCAGGGTGGGTGGGACTAGCAAAAACTTTACTCAGGTCTAGCAAAATCTTTACTCTCCTGGAGGCCGAGATAGAGTGGGTCAGGGCCACTGGTTACTCACGCCCCTCTGGGTGGCAGGTCCCCTGGCCACAAAGCAGAGAGAAGCCTCTTCTGGTAGTGAGGTGGGTCCCTGGGCTTCCCAACCACCCCCCATTGACAGGAAGACTTCCTTAGCAGGTACCTGGCTGGGGTGTGCACTGCAGGCCCTGCCCCCTGTAGAATCCTGCCAAAGCATTAGGGGGCTGGGGCGTCAAGGAGAGGGGGACTGTTCAGGCTAAGGGGTGATCTTGAGCCAGGAGGAGACCACAAGGAGCCTCTGGGGTCTAGCCTGGTGGTTTGAGAGAGGTCCCTCATAGCATGCCAGAGTTCTGGGAATACCTGGGGGAAATAGAAGGCACCCAGGGACCACTGCTTTCAAAAGGGGCTCAGAGAACTCACAGCTGGGCCCCCCCCATTCATGAGAGAGGAGCTGTGAATTTGCAGACAAGGCTAACATTCCTCAAAGCACAACCGCCACCCCCAACCCCTACCCCTGGCTGACCCCATGCTTAGTCATCACTCATTTTTCTTCTACCCCACAAAGGACACAGCACCCAGGACTTTCCGGAAACCAACGCCCGGGTAGTCTGAGGCTGGGAGGAATTCCTGGCCCTCTCAGGTGGGTGTTCCTTCCCAGCCCCAGACTTCCACCCAAATAAGAGTATGGTGCACGACGTGGAGTATCACGTGTGTCTGTGCATGTCCCTATCAACAAGCAGCTCTCCAACTGTCTAGGTTCTAGATTTTAAAGATGGATGGGATCAGGCTTAGGTGGTTTTCTAAACGCAAAGGCTTGGAGGAGGGGTTTTATATACCAACCACACTCCCTCTTCAAGGCACACACCCAAACACAAGATACATTTATATTCCCAGCAACAGCACTTGTGCCACACAAGAAAGACTGGGTGTCAGACATGCACCTGGGACTCCACATACCTTGAAACTCATGCGCACACCACTCCACACTGCGTGTATCACACATGCTTGCACGCATGTGCACACCACACATACACACACACACACACACACACACACACACACACAACAGCATGCTGCTTAGTTGGCTATTTAAAGAGTTTCCACTTTCTTAACAGGGCAGCTGGGCCTGAATTTAGGCAATCTAAATGTGTAATCCTAGCAAATTAACAGGTGAAGATCCACACTTTGAGAGGAATCACTGCAATCAGAGTTAGATTTAGTTTACAAAAGTCTGAGCCCTAGTTTTCAGCAATAGAGCTATTACATAATATGAGGTGCTAGAGGAAGAGACAGGAACTGATAAAAATGAACATCCCAGCTGGGTGCGGTGGCTCACACCTGTAATCCCAGCACTTTGGGAGGCCAAGGTAGGTGGATCACCTGCAGTCAGAAGTTCAAGACCAGCCTGGCCAACATGGTGAAACCCCATCTCTACTAAAAATACAAAAATTAGCTGAGCATGGTGGCGGGCACCTGTAATCCCAGCTACTCGGAGGCTGAGGCAGGAGAATCACTTGAACCCAGGAGACAGAGCTTGCAGTGAGATGGAGTTTCGTTCTTGTTGCCCAGGCTGGAGTGCAATCTCAGCTCACTGCAACCTCTGCCTCCTGGGTTCAAGTGATTCTCCTGCCTGAGCCTCCCAAGTAGCTGGGATTACAGGCACAAGCCACCACACCCAGCTAATTTTGTATTTTTAGTAGAGATGGGTTTCACCATGTTGGCCAGGCTGGTCTGGAACTCCTGATCTCAGGTGAGCTGCCCCCCTCGGCCTCCCAAAGTGCTGGAATTATAGATGTGAGCCACTGCTCCTGGCCTCCCATTGGTATTTCTAAGTAGTATCTGAAGTGGAGAGACAGGAGATGTCTTGAAAACACTGAAGGCAGAGCTCTGGAGACCTCAGCCTGTGGGGCTTAGATGACAGACCAAACCTTTGGCTACAGTTCTTCTTTAAGAGAGAACAGAGATAGAAGGACCTGGGTTCTGGGTCCATTGCAACAACCTAGAGAAATAATGCCAAATACACCATATGCCTTTACTCCTCATCCATGTTCACAACAAACATTACCAAATGATGGAGCATCCCTTCCTGCTGATCCCAGAAACATCTACACACCCCTTTATCAATGCCACACTCCAGGTGGCCCCTATCAACCAATCAGTGGCAGTGGCAGGTCAGAAGAAACCTATTTGCCATCCCTCACCCAGAAAGAGAATGTTTTGAAGGACAGCAGGACTTTAAGGAGGTGACATGTAGTTTGAGGCAAAACCCTTTTTATTTAATTATTTTTAATTTTGTAGAGGTGGGGTCTCACTATGTTGCCGAGGCTGGTCTCCAGCTCCTAGGCTCAGTTGATTCTCCCACCTCAGCCTTCCACATGAGCCACTGTGTCTGACCCAGGACAAAACCTTTTGAGAAATACCAACCTATCCCTTCTTTCTTTCCTCTCCATCTAGATTTCCCTCCAGTACCGGTCTGGAGGTTCCTGGTATCACACCTGCGGAGGGACCCTCATCAGACAGAACTGGGTGATGACAGCTGCTCACTGTGTGGACTCGTAAGAAAAACAAACACCAGCTTTCCTGGGCCCCTGGAAGGGGAAGGGGAAGGGGAAGGGGAAGGGGAAGGGGAAGGGGAAGAGGCTGGGGCTGAGCCTTCTGAAGGATGACATAACTTTGACTTCTCAGGACAATACTTCTGGGGCTGGGCAGTAGCCCCCTTCCTGTTCAGGGGCCTGCCGGGAGGTAGTATGGTAAAAAGTACAAATTTTGGAGTCAGGCAGCCTCAAATTCAAATGTTGCTGCACCAAATTCTAGCTGTGTAGCTTTGGGCAACTATGCCCCCATTCTCTTATCTCTAAAAAGTGCTAATAACATTTACTTTGTAGAAATGTTGTGAGGATTGAGTCAGTATGTAAGTGTCTAGTCAACGTCTGAATGGTGACTATTTTTTCCTATTTGTCTTGGGCACTGGTTTTCACATTTGAGCATGTGTCAGCGTTACCTGGAAGGCACAGATTGCTGGGCCCCACCCAGCAGGGTTTCTGATTTGGTAGGTCTGGGGTGAGGCTTGATAATATGCATTTCTAACAAGTTTCCAGGTGATGCTCATACTGCTGGCCCAGGAACCATGCTTTAAGAACTACTAGCCTAGAAGTCAGCTGGGTGCGGTGGCTCACGTCTGTAATCCCAGCACTTTAGGAGGCCAAGGCGGGTGGATACCTGAGACCAGGGGTTCAAGACCAGTGTGACCAACATGGCGAAAACCCATCTCTACTAAAAATAAAAATATTAGCCAGGTGTGATGGCGAGTGCCTGTAATCCCAGCTACTTGGGAGGCTTAGGCAGAGAGAATTGCTTAAAACCCAGGAGGTGGAGGTTGCAGGGAGCTGAGATTGTGCCACTGCACTCCAGCCTGGGCAATAGAGTGAAACTCCCTCTCAAAAAAAAAAAAAGAACTACTAGCCTAGAAGTCTATGCTTCCCTCAAAATCTTGGTGGCTGAGAGCCATTATTTCATTTAAGCGCACTGTACTTCTCCCAGGTTACAAGACATCTTAAATTAAAAAAAATGAAAGATGGTTTTTCAACTTTTCTCTAAGTTGGGGAAAGAGAAGGTTTGAGTCCCCTGGATGATTCAGTGCTTCCTTCTCTCACTCCAGCTCATTGACTTTCCATGTGGTGGTTGGAGACCATAACCTGAGCCAGAACGATGGCACTGAACAGTACGTGAGTGTGCAGAAGATCGTGGCGCATCCATACTGGAACAGCAATAACGTGGCTACTGGGTAGGAGCAAGTCCAAGCTGGCCCTGGGCTGGGTAGTGGAGGGCTGACTGGCCAATAATTGGCTGCCTTCACCTGGTCTTTCAGAGGGCTGGAGGGATTGCACGGCCTGAAACCTAGTCCACGGCTCTTTGCCTGGCCTTTAGTTTAGGAGCCCAGCTGAGCCTGAGAGAGGGCACCAAGTCCTGGAGGAAGCGATCAGCTGGCTTGTTCATCCAGGAGGACTTTGAGAATTTAGGTTCTGGGCTGGGCATGGTGGCTCATGCCTGTAATCCCAACACAGGGAGGCCAAGGCGGGCAGACCACCTGAGGTCAGGAGTTTGAGACCAGCCTGACCAATATGGTGAAACTCTGTCTTTACTAAAAATGCAAAATAAAAAAAATTAGCCAGACATGATGGCATGTGCCTGTAATCCCAACTACTCAGGAGGCTGAGGCAGGAGAATCACTTGAACCCAGGAAGCAGAGGTTGCAGTGAGCCGAGATCATGCCACTGCACTCCAGCCTGGGTGACAGCATGAGATTCCGTCTCAAAAGAAAAAAAAATTGAGGTTCTGGAGGGCTTGAGAATCTTCGAAGATCTTTAGGATTTGTTGGGTCCAGGCTGGTTTGCACAGTTGTATTACCTAAAGCCCGTTCTCCGCAAATTTTAATGTTCTGTTTTCATGGGTTTTTAAAATTGTTATTTATTATTCATATTATAGAAAAGACTCCATCAGCAAAAGTAAATTTCCTAAAGTGAATCTTTTCATTATTATTATTATTTAAAGAGACAGGGTCTTGCCATGTTGCCCAGGCTGGTCTCGAACTCCTGTGCTCAAGCCATCCTCCTGCCTCGGCCTCCCACAGTGCTGGGATTACAGGCGTGAGCCATCGCGCCTGGCCCTAAAGTGAATCTGATTCGGGAAAATTGCAAGTTGAGTTGTAAACTTCTAGAAAAGAAATCGTTAAAACGGTGGTCAATTCTATAGCAGGTGGAGGTGGGGATGGGTTCAAGGAATTGGAATATTCTACTGAGCTTGTAGAGCCACTCAGCGTTTTACATTTTTCTTCTTTGAGAACTCTGCCACAAAGATCATGCCACTCTGCTCCTTTCAGATTCCCCCATTCTCTACTTCCCTGGGTTGCAAAGGTTGGAGCTAGGCTGCAATACCAAAGTCTCACCAGCAGATGCTGCTGATACACATAGAATGTTTACATGTTAAATTGTAATTGCTCTAGTTTGCGGTTTAGCAAGTGAGCCCCCTCCTTCTTCTTCAAAGTCATCAGTTTCCAATTCCACGGGGACACAAATGCATAGAGAGGGCTAGTGCTGACCGCAGGGAAGGGCTGATCCCATGAGTGAAAAGTCTCTTTCTCCTGCAGCTATGACATCGCCTTGCTGCGCCTGGCCCAGAGCTTTACCCTCAATAGCTACGTCCAGCTGGGTGTTCTGCCCCAGGAGGGAACTATCCTGGCTAACAACAGTCCCTGCTACATCACAGGCTGGGGCAGGACCAAGAGTAAGTAGCCTACATTGGCACCATCCACCACAAGGATCTTGATTAGGTAGCTGAGCTTTTAAAGGAACCATATATACATTAACTGATGCATCAAGCTAAGAATGGGCTGTGAAATAGTTGAGAGATTCATAGACTCAGAACTAAAAAAGACTTTACCACAAAGAATTTTTTTTAACCAGTCCCTCATTTTAAAAAATTATCTATTTATTTTGAGATAGGGTCTTACTCTGTTGCCCAGACTGCAACTTCCACTTCCTAGGCTCAAGTGATCCTCCCATCTCAGCCTCCTAAGTAGCTGGGACTATAGGCATGCACCACCACACTCTGTTGAAATGGACTCTCTCTGTCACCAGGCTGGAGTGCAGTGGCACAATCTCAGCTCACTGCAACCTCCACCTCCCAGGTTCAAATGATTCTCCTGCCTCAGCTTCGCAAGTAGCTTGGATGTGAGTCCATTGGGAAAAGCTGGAGCTAGGAGAGACACATGGTTCAAATCCTGCTTCTGATCTCAGTTCATTTAATGTTATTGTGGTCTAGTTTCTTTCTTTTTTGTTTTTCTTTCTATTATATGCAAATTTTTGGTGCTGCAAAAGAAGTAGCACTTGAATATAAATTTTCTCAGCAGGGCAATTTACTTCTATAAAAGGGTGCATCTCACAGATGGAGCAATGGTGAGTGCACACCCAAACAGGGGAGGGGAAGGGGATTCTTATCCCTGATGCAGGTAGTTCCTACTGCCGTGCTGTTCCCCTATTGGCTAGGGTTGGACTGCACAATCTAAGCAAATTCCAATTGGCTATTTTAAAAGGAGCAGAAGTATGAGCCAGAGTAGTAGGGTGAACAGTTTGGCAGGAAGGACAGTTACAGAACAGGTAACTAAAGGTGAATCAGGTGAAAGCAGGTGATCAGGGCAAGTCAGGATGAAGTAGATGACCAGCAGAATAGATGTGAACTACTGATTAGAACTGGTGGAAAAGGTTGTTTACTAAAACTATGAGAAAGTTAAACTTAAAATGGAGGACAAAGAACTGAACATACTGACATACTGATTCTTTGAAGAGAAATTTAGAACTCATTGTAACCAACATTCTTTCTTTCTTTTCTTCTTCTTCTTTTTTTTTTTTTTTTTAAACAGAGTCTCCCTCTGTAGCCCAGGCTGGAGTGCAGTGGCACGATCTTGGCTCACTGCAACCTTCACCTCCTGGGTTCAAGTGATTCTCCTGCCTCAGCCTCTCAAGTAGCTGGGATTACAGGCACCTGCCACCATACCCAGCTAATTTTTATATTTTTAGTAGAGATGGGGTTTCACCCTGTTGGCCAGGCTGGTCTCGAACTTCTGACCTCAAGTGATTCACCTCCTCAGCCTCCCAAAGTGCTGGGATTACAGGCGTGAGCTGGTAATCCAGCCCTGGTCCATTTTCTTGACCAATAACATGAGAGTTTTGTAACAGTCCAAATGAAAAGTGCAGAGGCTTTGAAAAGTCAAAAGAGCAAGATAAGGGAAAGATGCACCAAGCTCTTAAGAAATGGAAACAAACATGCACAATACCAGTTCTGCTCCATGGAGCTTGTCATTTAAGGAGGAAGCAGAACAGACCGATAAATCATCCACAAATAAGACCATTCCATGACCCAACTAAGTTATCCATGGGTGAGAAGCAGGAGTAGGGCTGGTGGCTTGGAGCCTAGGTACAGTAAGCAAGGCTGCCTCCCTGAGGGAAGGGAAGGGTCCTGTGTGGCCATATAAAGAGAGAAGACAGAAGGATCCACCACAAGCAACAGGTGGAGAGAAGGAGCGTGGCCTGAGTTCAGTTTTCACCAGAGTTTGGGAAGGTGTGGCAGCAGTGGAAGGTTCGTCCACTGGACAACATCTGGAGCTGACTGCCAATGCTATATGTCCTGTTCAGCCAATGGGCAGCTGGCCCAGACCCTGCAGCAGGCTTACCTGCCCTCTGTGGACTATGCCACCTGCTCCAGCTCCTCCTACTGGGGCTCCACTGTGAAGAACACCATGGTGTGTGCTGGTGGAGATGGAATTTGCTCTGGATGCCAGGTGAACACATGCAGAGGGTGTCAGATATCCCACCCCAGGTCCTGCCACTCTCTGCCTATCCCTCCACCCCTTTTCCTCACCTCCCTATTCCACACTTACTCTTGGACCTACACAGACTCAGGTTTCTACTCTGACGTGTAAGTGAGAATGATTCTGTGCTAGTAACCCTATACTCACAGAACCTCAAAGTTGAAAGGAGCCTTAAAATTGATCTCGCTCTATGCCCTCACTTCAAAGCTTGTACATGGCCCAACATTTGTATGTTGTTGTTGGTATATGTGTGTGATCTTAGAATTCGTTACCTAGATTTTTTTAACAATAGCGATGGAGCTGGGCCTGGAGGGGTGGTTGTGATGGTGTATAAGGCAGCACCCTGCCCCCCACCCACCTATCAGTCCAACTTCTCTTGCAGTTCCTCTACCACCATCCCTTTACCCCAGTGGTATTTCTGACATTATTGTACAGGTGAGTTTGATAGGGGAAAGTGCACAAAATAATTTTTTTTTGAGACAGTCTCTCTCTGTTGCCAGGCTGGAGTGCAGTGGTGTAATCTCAGCTCACTGCAGCCTCTGTCTCCCAGGTTCAAGGTTCAAGCAATTCTCCTGCCTCAGCCTCCCGAATAGCTGGGACTACAGGTGTGCAGTACCACACCCAGCTAATTTTTGTATTTTTAGTAGAGACAGGTTTTCACCATGTTGACCAGGATGGTCTTGATCTCCTAACCTCGTGATCCTCCCCCCTCAGGCTCCCAAAGTGCTGGGATTACAGGTGTGAGCCACCGTGCCCAGCCACAAAATAATTTTATAATAGCTTATTTGTAACAAATATAACCTTCTCCTATTTTGATGAGATCAATCAGCAATAAACCATCTTACAGATTTCTTTTATTATTATTTTTTAATATAGAGATGGGGTCTTGCTTTGTGGCCCAGGCTGGTCTCAGACTCTGGAGCTCAAGTGATCCTCCTGCTTCAGCCTCCCAAAATGCTGGGAATACAGGCGTGAGCCACCATGCCGCACCCCAGATTTCTTTTTTTTTTTTTTTTTTGAAGTGATATCTGCATGCCTATGTTTATTTATTTATTTTTTTAAATTTTTTATTGGATTATAGGTTTTGGGGTACATGAGCAGAGCATGCAAGACAGTTGCGTAGGTACACACATGGCAGTGTGCTTTGCTTTTCTTCTCCCCTTCACCCACATTTGGCATTTCTCCCCAGGCTATCCCTCCCCACCTCCCCCTCCCACTGGCCCTCCCCTTTTCCCCCCAATAGACCCCAGTGTTTAGTATTCCCCTTTCTGTGTCCATGTGTTCTCATTTTTCATCACCCACCTATGAGTGAGAATATGCGGTGTTTCATTTTCTGTTCTTGTGTCAGTTTGCTGAGGATGATGTTTTCCAGATTCATCCATGTCCCTACAAACGACACGAACTCATCATTTCTGATTGTTGCATAATATTCCATGGTGTATATGTGCCACATTTTTCCAATCCAGTCTATTATCAATGGGCATTTGGGTTGATTCCAGGTCTTTGCTATTGTAAACAGTGCTGCAATGAACATTCGTGTACATGTGTCCTTATAGTAGAACGATTTATAGTCTTTTGGATATATACCCAGTAATGGGATTGCTGGGTCAAATGGAATTTCTATTTCTAAGGCCTTGAGGAATCGCCACACTGTCTTCCACAATGGTTGAACTAATTTACACTCCCACCAACAGTGTAAAAGTGTTCCTTTTTCTCCACATCCTCTCCAGCATCTGTTGTCTCCAGATTTTTTAATGATCGCCATTCTAACTGGCGTGAGATGGTATCTCAATGTGGTTTTGATTTGCATCTCTCTGATGACCAGTGACGATGAGCATTTTTTCATATGATTGTTGGCCTCATATATGTCTTCTTTCGTAAAGTATCTGTTCATATCCTTTGCCCACTTTTGAATGGGCTTGTTTGTTTTTTTCCTGTCAATCTGCTTGAGTTGTTTGTAAATTCTGGATATCAGCCCTTTGTCATATGGGTAGACTGCGAAAATTTTTTCCCATTCTGTTGGTTGCCGATCCACTCTAGTGACTGTTTCTTTTGCCGTGCAGAAGCTGTGGAGTTTCATTAGGTCCCATTTGTCTATTTTGGCTTTTGTTGCCAATGCTCTTGGTGTTTTGTTCATGAAGTCCTTGCCTACTCCTATGTCCTGGATAGTTTTGCCTAGATTTCCTTCTAGGGTTTTTATGGTGCCAGGTCTTATGTTTAAGTCTTTAATCCATCTGGAGTTAATTTTAGTGTAAGGTGTCAGGAAGGGGTCCAGTTTCTGCTTTCTACACATGGCTAGCCAGTTTTCCCAACACCATTTGTTAAACATGGAATCCTTGCCCCATTGCTTGTTTTTGTCAGGTTTATCAAAGACTGTACAGTTGTATGTATGTTGTGTTGCCTCTGGTGCCTCTGTTTTGTTCCATTGGTCTATATCTCTGTTTTGGTACCAGTACCATGCTGTTTTGATTACTGTAGCCTTGTAGTATAGTTTGAAATCCGGTAGTGTGATGCCCCCCGCTGTGTTCTTTTTGCTTAGAATTGACTTGGCTATGCGGGCTCTCTTTTGGTTCCATATGAAGTTCATGGTGGTTTTTTCCAGTTCTGTGAAGAAAGTCAATGGTAGCTTGATGGGGATAGCGTTGATTCTGTAAATTACTTTGGGCAGTATAGCCATTTTCACGATATTAATTCTTCCTAACCATGAACATGGAATGTTTCTCCATCTGTTTGTGTCCTCTCTGATTTCGTTGAGCAGTGGTTTGTAGTTCTCCTTGAAGAGGTCCCTTACGTTCCTTGTGAGTTGTATTCCAAGGTATTTTATTCTTTTTGTAGCAATTGCGAATGGCAGTTCGCTCTTGATTTGGCTTTCTTTAAGTCTGTTATTGGTGTAGACGAATGCTTGTGATTTTTGCACATTGATTTTATATCCTGAGACTTTGCTGAAGTTGTTTATCAGTTTCAGGAGTTTTTGGGCTGAGGCGATGGGGTCTTCTAGGTATACTATCATGTCGTCTGCAAATAGAGACAATTTGGCTTCCACCTTTCCTATTTGAATACCCTTTATTTCTTTTTCTTGCCTGATTGCTCTGGCTAGAACTTCCAGTACTATATTGAATAGGAGTGGTGAGAGAGGGCATCCTTGTCTAGTACCAGATTTCAAAGGGAATGCTTCCAGTTTTTGCCCATTCAGTATGATATTGGCTGTTGGTTTGTCATAAATAGCTTTTATTACTTTGAGATACGTTCCATCGATACCAAGTTTATTGAGGGTTTTTAGCATAAAGGGCTGTTGAATTTTGTCAAATGCCTTCTCTGCGTCAATTGAGATAATCATGTGGTTTTTGTTTTTGGTTCTGTTTATGTGGTGAATTACATTTATAGACTTGCGTATGTTGAACCAGCCTTGCATCCCCGGGATGAATCCTACTTGATCATGATGAATAAGTTTTTTGATTTGCTGTTGCAATCGGCTTGCCAATATTTTATTGAAGATTTTTGCATCTATGTTCATCATGGATATTGGCCTGAAGTTTTCTTTTCTCGTTGGGTCTCTGCCGGGTTTTGGTATCAGGATGATGTTGGTCTCATAAAATGATTTGGGAAGGATTCCCTCTTTTTGGATTGTTTGAAATAGTTTTAGAAGGAATGGTACCAGCTCCTCCTTGTGTGTCTGGTAGAATTCGGCTGTGAACCCGTCTGGACCTGGGCTTTTTTTGTGAGGTAGGCTCTTAATTGCTGCCTTGATTTCAGACCTTGTTATTGGTCTATTCATAGTTTCAGCTTCCTCCTGGTTTAGGCTTGGGAGGACACAGGAGTCCAGGAATTTATCCATTTCTTCCAGGTTTACTAGTTTATGTGCATAGAGTTGTTTGTAATATTCTCTGATGATGGTTTGAATTTCTGTGGAATCTGTGGTGATTTCCCCTTTATCATTTTTTATTGCATCTATTTGGTTGTTCTCTCTTTTCTTTTTAATCAATCTGGCTAGTGGTCTGTCTATTTTGTTGATCTTTTCAAAAAACCAGCTCTTGGATTTATTGATTTTTTGAAGGGTTTTTCGTGTCTCAATCTCCTTCAGCTCAGCTCTGATCTTAGTAATTTCTTGTCTTCTGCTGGGTTTTGAGTTTTTTTGATCTTGCTCCTCTATCTCTTTCGATTTTGACGATAGGGTGTCAATTTTGGATCTCTCCATTCTCCTCATATGGGCACTTATTGCTATATACTTTCCTCTAGAGACTGCTTTAAATGTGTCCCAGAGGTTCTGGCACGTTGTGTCTTCATTCTCATTGGTTTCGAAGAACTTCTTTATTTCTGCCTTCATTTCGTTGTTTACCCAGTCAACATTCAAGAGCCAGTTGTTCAGTTTCCATGAAGCTGTGCGGTTCTGGGTCGGTTTCTGAATTCTGAGTTCTAACTTGATTGCATTATGGTCTGAGAGGCTGTTTGTTATGATTTCAGTTGTTTTGCATTTGTTGAGCAGTGCTTTACTTCCAATTATGTGGTCAATTTTAGAGTAGGTGTGATGTGGTGCTGAGAAGAATGTGTATTCTGTGGATTTGGGGTGGAGAGTTCTGTAAATGTCCACCAGGTTTGCTTGCTCCAGGTCTGAGTTCAAGCCCTGGGTATCCTTGTTGATTTTCTGTCTGGTTGATCTGTCTAGTATTGACAGTGGAGTGTTAAAGTCTCCCACTATTATTGTGTGGGAGTCTAAGTCCTTCTGTAAGTCATTAAGAACTTGCCTTATGTATCTGGGTGCTCCTGTGTTGGGTCCATATATGTTTAGGATCGTTAGCTCTTCTTGTTGTATCGATCCTTTTACCATTATGTAATGGCCTTCTTTGTCTCTTTTGATGTCTGTTGCTTTAAAGTCTATTTTATCAGAGATGAGAATTGTAACTCCTGCTTTTTTTTGCTTTCCATTAGCTTGGTAAATCTTCCTCCATCCCTTTATTTTGAGCCTTTGTGTA